GACGCTTCAATACGGCTGTGCAGAAATATCAAAATATCAATATATCGTATAGTTTAATGTAATGACACAGTATCGATATCGTGGGCTGCTGTATCGATATATCGCCATGAGTATTTTTTTGGTATATTTTATGCAATTATTTTGTTACAGCTACAGTTTAGGCCAGGAGTGGGCAAACTTTTTGACTCGTGAGCCACAAAGGGTTCTACAGTTTGACTGAAGGGCCGGACCAGGAGCAGATGGATGGAGTTTTTTATTAATCCACCTCATAAGAGAAAAAAAATAAAATATATATATATATATATAGAAAACATCATCCTATGTTATTGAAATATACCATAATTGAAAATCATTACAAAGCATCACAACAAAATATCTGTCCACGGTATTTACAATTTAATGAAATGACTTTTAAAACAATGAAAATTATTATTCATATTATTATTACTGTATTTCAAGTTAGGCGGGCTGGATTAAAAAGATTAAAGGGTCACATATGGCCCCCGGGCCGTAGTTTGCCCACCCCTGGTTTAGGCAAAGGAACAACTTCATTTATAGTGTGTGCAAAAATATCAAAATATCGTATCGTTTAATGTGATGATACAGTATCAATATTGTGGGCTGCTGTATCGATATATCGCTAAGAGTATTTTTAGGTATATTTTGCTACATTATTTTGTGTAAGAGTTATAACTGTGTTGACATTTTCACTGTTTTGAGTAAAGTGGGTGTTTTTCATTTGCCAGACTGACGCCAACTAGTGTCTCTGCTCAGTTTCATTTGTCTTCAGAGACTAGATCAGGAATCAGAAAACATAAGACGGTTCGCAAAAACCCCAGAAGTGCAAGTTCGGGCACCAGCCAATCAGCGAAGAGTCAGACATTCTGTGTTGTCAATGATTCCCGAGATCGAGGATTTAAAGCCAGATTAAAGAGAATGTTCCTGAATTTTATCAAGGGTAAAGACATTATTGTTCTTCTTCCTACAGGATTTGGCGCATTACATACGACACGACCAAATAACAGCAAGTGGAAAAAAAGTACCCACATACCGTCGAGTGAACGAATCCTAATGCTGCGAGGTCACACGGTTTCTATGAAGTGAAACCAGCTGATGAATCAGACTAGTTTTTCATATTCACTTTATAAGGGAGTATTATCTGTTCCATAAGGCTGAGTTGACAATATCATAGTTCACGTTTATTATTATTGCTTATTGTCCATAATTTAAATAAACCAGAATGTTCATGAGTGAGATTAATGCTCCTGTGGACGACTGTTTAACAGAGTTTGTGTGATGGTGGAAGTGTGGGAACAGAGCGGCTGCTTTAGCTCTTACCAGACTGTAGACACAGATCACTGTGGAGAGGCTCTAGTTTAGGTTCTTTGCCGGGCTCTTACCTCCAGCGTGGGGTGTGGTCGTTCCCACTGGACTCACCTGACCTGAACTGGACAAACAAGACCAACTTTAGCATAAGATTAGCTGCAACAATCGTCAATTTAGCCTTTGGCCATGTAGTTAGTGTCCGGTTTAGCAGATAAACAATTTTTTATAAATATAACAGTAAATAATCCAAATGGCTCATAATTCTTACACATTAAAGTCCACTGCACAGTACACACAGTAACAGTACAGAGCTCAACAGAAAGTTCCAGTATGTTACAGTCACACTGGGTTAGCGTGGCTTTAGTGGCCGTAGCCAAACTCAAGACATCATGAAGATAAGTTTCAGTTCACAGACATTATAAAAAGAGAGAAATAAACGATAGTTTGACACGTACCTGTCCCTCCGTCCTGTCCCGCCCACACGCACTACGGTTTCCACCATGAATCTAGACACGTGGTTTGTGCGCAGGCGCGTGGTGCGTTCACTGGCACAAGATAATAAGAACTTTTAATACTCGGCTGCTGATGGCGTATGTTAAACCTTGGTTACAAGTGCATGGCCAAGGACAAAACAAGAGTATGTACTGTTCTGAGAGGAGTTTGAACCACTCACCCTGTGGTTTATAGACAAGGGCTTTAACTACTGACCCACTGTTGCCCCTGTTCGCCTCATGAAAATGAAAAAGTAGAATCATTTCTAACTTTGATTGTGAAGAAACAACAAGGCCTGGAGACAAAGAAGTTAGTATGATTCCATTGTCATGTTCATCCAGTGAAGAGGAGCTCACTGAAGACCTGCACTGACACAGACACAGACACAGACACAGACACAGACAGGAGCATCAGGTGCTTTGCTCTTGACTGAATGTAATGGGAATGAATAATGCACTGAATGGTACAGAGATTTTGGGCATCTGGAAAAGTGATCTATGCAACTATTGTATTATATTGCATTGTTGTAAACTAGGTTGACCAGACGTCCCTGTTTCCCCGGGACAGTCCCAGTTTTGAGCCTGTGTCCCCTGTCCCAGCAGATTTATACAAAAACACTGACTGTCCCAGTTTTATACAAGAAATGTCCCAGGTCTCTCTATTTTTGACCAATTTAATCCCTGCCAACAGTAAAAAAGAGGAATATATTGTCATTTGTTTAGCTAAAATAGAGAAAATCTGCTTAAAAATGACTAAAAACCAAAGAAAATGTGACTATACTGACTCACATTCAGGCCGAGCACAGAACAATTTTCCTTAATTACGCACTCGTTTCACAATTTTATTATCACCAACCAACCCAAACCAGGGATGTCCCAGTTTTTTATTTTGAAAATCTGCTCACCCTACAAAAAAAAACACATTAATTTAAACCATACCCATGACTAAAATCAGGAATATATCATTTCAAAACAGAAACTACAGTCACTCCTGAGCTCCGTCCGAACCCTTCACACCTCTGTTTGTCTCCTCGTCCTCAGCCTCACACAGATGATGTTAATCTTCAAAGCCCTCCGCTATAACAAGTGCACTTCCACCCCGGCCTGAGTCACTCCCCGTCGACGACTCCACCGCTCCCGCAGTCTGCGCCTGTCAGACACCCGGCCCGGCCCGCCGTAAAACCCCGCCCCAAACAGCAGCCGCCCCGGACTCGCGTTTACCGCCGGCTTCATTGTCATGCTGGAAATAAGGGCATGATTCCGACATTAGCGAGCTCCTTTTGGTTTGGCCCGGGCTGCTCCTGGCTTTGAAGGGAGAGGCGGGCAGACGCTGAGATGGCACAAAAAGCTCAGACACTTTGTATGGTGAAAACCCAGAGAGTAGTAACGTTTTATAGACTCGTTTGGATTGAGTTGTGTTTAATTGCAATAATGTGGTGTTGCCAGTGAAGCAAAATGCAGAAGTGACTTGGGGCTTCAGAGGGAGTTTGCGTTTTCTCCCCATGTCTGCGTGCTCCAGCTTCACCCACCACAAAGAGCATATGGACTGAGGCATGTATAGTGAGTATAAAAAGTATACATGAATGGACAGAGCTAACATGCGAGCCGCCGATTTCCAAATATGAAGTTCTCATGTGGCTCTTCCGGCTCCTTCTGACTCTGGCTCCCATTGACTTCCATTAGAATATTGTGGCTCCTCTCGCTGTACCTGCTGCTGTGAGCCTCGTCATTTTGGTCTTAAAATGTTCGTATTAACCCGCGACACATGATTCTATTTAATTTTTTTTCTCGCCATTTTGTCCGTCAAGAAAAATCGTATTCATAACATAAAGCCTGGCTTCAGATTTGCTCCTGTAACCGTGAGCATCAGGAGCTTCATTTGAGTGACACTGAACACTGTGGCAGTTTATGTTCCATCCTTGTTTGGTCCCAATAGACCTTTTTCACAACAGTCGGAAGTGCCACGACGTAGGGTAAACATCACTTCCGGTTGATGCTAACTGTGTCCATTTATACAGACGTCTGTGCTGCTAGTCTCGATTGGTTTCATTTAGTTGCAGCCAAACACTGGAGAAAGTCGTTTCGCATCCACACACGGGTCTGCTGGATCTGCTGTGTATGATCTGGCCTTGCAGCAGCATGTTGAAGTTGAACAAAAGGGGTTTCAGGATTGACCCTTGAGGCACCCCACAGGCCAGGGCCATGCGATCTGAGATGGTTTCCAATTTCAACAAAATACTTCCAGTCTTTTAGACAGGACTTGAGCCAGTTTAGAACAGTACCAGAGATGCCCATGCAGTCCTCTACTGTAGTGTCTGTCAGGGAGTCAGAGAGACACTGGACCTGTACCAATAATTTCAGAAAAATACCTCTCCCTTGTTCTTGGTAAAAGCTGGTTAAACATGTACAACCTTTAATCTTTGTTTATGAATCTCATATTGAGCCCAGAGTCCTGCACAGGTCCCTTTTTGGAGACCCGCCCGTACCCATGCAGTACAGCACAACACGTTCCCTTTAGCCCGTGATTATATCAAAGTTAAATCTGCACCTGCCCAGGCCCATTAACATTCCACCCCTTAGCCGCCAGTGATAAATCTGGGTCAGCCATTAGTCCGACAGCTCAATAGCCCAGGACTAAACCAGGACTAAACCAGGACTGAACCTACGCCGTATCATTAGAGGATTATAAATATATACACGTCACAAAGTGCCAAGCCGATCACCAGGACTAAACCAGGACTGGACCATGTCTAAACCAGGACTGAACCTACGCCATGTCTTCAGTGGATTATATATACACACCGCGACCGCAGAGCTGATTGCCAGGACTACACCAGGACTGGACCAGAACTGAAACAGGACTTATCCAGGTCTAAACCAGGAGCGCAGCCGCAGAGCCGATCAACTCCATTGATGGTTTTATTTAATAAAAACACTAAAGTCTCTTTCAGTCTGGTCCATCGTTCCAGAAAAAGACGGGAAATATCACTTGTTTCCAGGGCAATGGACGCCCTGGATGAGTCATGTATTTTTTTCCCATTCATCGTTCATTTGATTCTCCTGACCCAACGTTAAAACCCGACCGTTTCAGCAACTACTTGTGGGTACCCGACCCGGTGCAGGACTCTGACTGAACCTGACGATATCCAGTCAAAAAAGTGCACAAAAGAACACTACAAACTGTTCTGATTTGGAGACATGTTTATTAAGGCTACAGCTGCTGATCTCACACAGCACAAGACACAACTGTAGACTGCACATAAAAAAGTGACATAACTCCTCCAACGACATCATGAAATTTACATTATTTACATTTGTCAAGTTTTAGAGACGCTGCAGCGGCAGAAAGAGAAGAGGCGGACCGAGGTCTGGTAAAAACGTAGGAAAATACTGTCCGAGAGTTTGCATTGCAACAGTAGAAAAGGTGAACAGTGTTGGTCACAGAGTAATAATAGAAATAATCGTAGTAATACTGAGGCTCAAGAGCACAGGTGAGGTAATATCAGGTCAGTTGTAACTTTTAAAAGAGAGTCCAGCATTAGGAGTACAATTATAAAGACCGGAGGAAACCTGCATAGGGTTCTAATGTAGTGGTTAAGTGAGGTACAGTTGAGTGTATCAAATAAAATAAAATAAACAGGGTTCCTTTACGATATCAAAGTTTAAGTGTGTATATACCTTTAAACTTTTTGCATTGCTGGTGAAAAGTGCAAACAAAACTTGCATTGAAATCCTGAAAAGTCAGCCATAACTTTCTGTTTCTGTCCTATGTGTGCCCAAAAATGACAAATTGTGCACAAACTCTTTTTTTTTGTTGTATTTTCTTCCAGTTATCAAACATTTCACTGTTTTTTTTTTTCATTGATTGATAAGAAATGTGTGTGAATTTGTGCACTGAGTAACTTATTCCACGTCCTTGGAGATGTAATGTCTCTGTCAGATGTTCCACAGTATGTCATTAAACTTTGTGACGCCACTTGGCCAAGTTACAGGTAAGATCCAGGGAAAGGCGAGCCCACTCCCAGTAAGAATACATGCTTTTTGTTATTGGCATTTTTGAACATTAGGCTCTGTTCACGCTTACGTCACAAACCAAGAAGACGTTTGGAAACATGCTTCCGATGTGGTTCCCGACACTGGACTCACCGACCGACTGTGATCGAACCCACTGACGTAAATCTGGTCATAATATCTATAATATTGAATTCTCTCATCAGTTTTCATACATAATATTATAATGTGCATTAAGCGAAACAAACAGACGACACTTGAGACTGATCCATAGCCCAGATCGTGGTGTAATTCGCCCAGCGTTACCTCCCTGTCTTGGTGAATGTGTATTATGAATGTGAATGTGGGTGGATCATTTAAGTAGTTTTTTTTAAAATTTCCTACAAGGATGATTCAAATATACATCGAGTAATAATGTGTTTAATGCAGCTTTGCGCACATTTGTTTACGTTTTACAGAAACTAAACTTAAAACCACATGACTCATTTGCATAAAATATAAGCGCTGAAAAAAACAGCTCGCTCCTTGTGCGCTGATGCGGTTCAGCTTCTGTCGGACTAAAGGACACGACTCAGTGGAATATGAGTGTTCTTTCAGTGACAGAGGGGTGTTCTGCTGATGGTGAGTCTGTTCTGTGTTTCTATCGCGTTGGAGATGGTTCATGTGAAACTTTTCAAAGACTGTACTCCGCGAGACTCCTGACTGTGGCAGTTGTAATGCTTTGACAATCCATCAATTGGTGCGGCTTCATATTTTACCAAAGTCGTATTAAAACATTTTGACAGATTTTTTGAGCACCGTGTACCACATGAAAATCAGTTCAAGGTCCGTAAGCACAACGCGAAATAATACATAAGGCGCACCAGATTATAAGGCGCACTGTCGATTTTTGAGAAAATTAAAGGATTTTAAGTGCGCCTTATAGTCCGAAAAATACGGTACCCAGTGCGCTTGGAGTTGTGTGTCAGTGAGGAAATTATGAAAACTGAGATATGGTTGGAAATGTTGATTAACCGAACATAACGGAACACTACAATGACATGGAGATGAAGAAAACCGGGACATTTTCTCATTTTTCCTAGATTTCGTCAGACTTACTACTGCGAACAGAACCCAACGAAGTCGTCATCACATGTTTCCAAACGTCTTCCTGGTGGGAGCGTGCCTATGTTCCCTCAGCCCCATCTTCCCTAATTTCTTCTACTTTTTTTTTTTCTCCAAAATTAGACCCTATGTTAATAAATATATGTCATATATCATCACTTTGCATCTGATTTGATCACTGTTTGTCCCAATTTGGTCGTCAGTCACCCAACCTATTACCCATACAAGCAGCCATTTGTGTAGGTATGAAAATAAAAATGACTTGACTTAGAGTTTCATTTTGAGAAAAATCTTAGAAATAAGAAAAATCTTAGAAATGAGGGAACATACGGCTGACCCCTGATGTAAGTGTGAATAGAGCCAGTACAACACCCATAATGAAACGAGCCCTTAATGGATGCTACGTGGAACATTTCAAGCAAAGTATCAACATCTCCATGGAGACAAGTGTGTGGCGATAAGTCCATCACAAAGTTACGCAGTGCTCCTTTAAACACACAGACAGACAGACGCTTCCGGTCAAAAGTTTGGACACACCTTCTCATTCAGTGCTTTTTGTATCTGAAATGTATAAAAATTCACGCGTAGGAACCCTGCGTACAAACCGACTTTAGGTACAGGAAATGAAAAATCGTAACATAATCTCACATCGTGGTCAGTTTTGATCCGAAGCTTCTGAAAAACATCCAGCTCTTTTCTCCCTTACGTTGTCTGTCGTCGCGTTGCCGTTCTTATTTTTGTCCTTTTTTTTTCTTTTTACACGGAAGGACAATGCAGACTCATTCACTTAAAGCAACACCTCATATCTCCACATCCGTCGTGCACATGATAGAATATATATGTTCTGAAATCGAGCTTCATTTCTACATAAACGTACATCTCCTCGGACCCTCGTTGGCCTCGTTTAATTACACCGACGACTTTATTACGACGAGAAAAATGAACGCGAGATTTGGCGAACGCGCAGACGAAGCGAACATGCGTGCGGTTAAGACGGCCATGAGCTGAAGGAATATTAGGCTCGCTCTCAAGACGGAAACAAACAAACAAAACGAAACAAAAAAAAAAAAACTAGAGAGTCAAAATATAACGATTAACATTGAATGGCATTTGAGATTTCGTACAAATTCAACATGTATTCAAAATAATCATAATTTGGTTTAGAATTTCACACTAAAGTGCTTTTTCCAGCAATCTACAATCGTTAATATGACTTCAACTCAGAAAAAAATACGTTACTTAAAGTTAAAATAGGGAGTATTACACTTTTATGGGCTTTTTCAGAATGTTCCTTTTTTTTTGTTTTGAAAATGTTGTATTTGCCGAAAACGACGTATTAACATGTTTAATTAGTTTAAGTTTCATTTGTGATGCTCTGATCTCCTCCTGCCTTTGCTCTCCGTGTTAAGTCACTCCCCCTTCAGAGCACTATCACAATAAAAAACATGAAACTACTCTACATCGCATCAGGTTTGTGAAGTTGTAGCGTAAGGTTCGTCTCGTGTTTTTGTATATTTACGGAGAATTTTCGTGTGGGAGCATGGACGATGTAAGCCTGTGGACGCAGTTTTGTACAAGGAGGGATCGAATAGGGCCCAGAGAGATCGCTAAATTACTCAAACACGCATGGAGGCATCTAAAACCACTTCAGGCATGTTTTCAAGAAGGAACGTTAAATATAATATGGTAGAAAACTGCAACTGTCGATTTTGCGTAATACTCCCTATTTAAGATTTAATTTAGTTTTGTTTGTTTTTTTACTTAAAATTGAGTTTTGTTGCATAATTGTGATTGTCAGAACAAGGCTTTTCATTTCAAGCTGAATGTTGTTCTGGTGCCATTTGGGGGTTTGAAACATGCCTCACCCCATTATTAATACACAGGATGCCCCAAAAACACTGATATCATTTCGCAGGGCAATAATTTCGCCAGTACTTGTTGAAATCACCTCAAATTTTCAAAGAATGTTTAGAAACAGATCGAGATTTTATATTTAATGTTTTATTTTTTGTTCTGTTTTCAGGTTGAGCCGTTGACTCCCAAAGAGAAGTCACTTTGCATCTTGGAATCTGTTCACACACTCTCACCCTGGAGAGACGAGGAGTATTTTTTGGTTTAATTTACTTAATTTTTTTTTGTTACAGCTACAGTTTTGTCGTTTTCTTTAGTGGAAGGAAACTCGTTTATGCGACACATTTGACATTTTGACTGTTTTGATGATTAAAATGTTTGTGTTTCATATGAACTTTGCACAAGAAGAAGTGGTTTAACAAAGACTTTTAGTATCACAGACTAAATTTAGACTTTATTTTTTGTTGAACCGTATCGAATCATGTTGAAATGTATCGTATCGTTTCATGGCCCATGTATTGAGGTATGTATTGTATTGGCAACTTCTTAATGACACCCAGCCTAAACCTAAACTGTTCAATTTCACTGAACACTAGACATTGTAGTTTTCAAGATAATTGCTTTTAAAATGACGTCAAATCTTTTGGAACACTCTGTATTTTGTTTGGATGGAAAACCAGTTCAATCAGTCTGATATATTTAGTGATTAAGTCAGATAACGAACAATAAATCAATAAGTAATAACATATTCTGAGCTGAAGTCATTATAACTCATGTAGAGATCTGCAGTGTTCAAATGTTCACGCTAAGTGCTCGAGTTGTTCTAAAGTGGAACAAGTTTGATATGGAACCATTAAAACAGGGTCATCGTTTCTCTCAAGGAACATTTCTGCTGCAACTCCACAAACCTCAGAACGTGGAGCTGCTCGTCTGATATCCAAGGGGAAATGTTAATTTTTAAAGGTAAAAATGGAAACAGTCTTTATAAACGTATGAAACATGTTCATAAAGCCTGATAGAAGTATAAACAAATGTGATGGTATCTAAGTGAGAAAAAATACAAAACACCTTTTAATCTACTCCCTTTCAGCAAAATACACTTTGAAATTCCTGTTGAACAAAATCTAAAGAATAATGAAAACCGTATCATAGACCGTGTGGACAATCCCGGAGTCGTGTATCGTTCGTTCATTCGTTTTTCAAAATAAAACCGAAAATAATAAAATGAAAAAAAAAACAAAAACGCTATTTTCTTCATTATTTGTCTCCAAAACCAAAATTTGTTTTTTTCTGTTTTCAATTTTGTGTTTAAACGAATAAAAAAATGAAACGAAAAAACAAAAGATTTTTCCCGTTTCCGTGACTTAAACTACGATGCCGGACTTTTGCGGAGCATACAGACTAAACCAGGTCTAAACCAGGTCTAAACCAGAACTGGACCAGGACTAAAACAGGACTAAACCAGGACTAAACTGGTCTCAGTCCTGGTCCCATTCCCGGTCTGGTCCTGATCATCTGACAGTCTACAAGGGCACAACTCCTGACCCGTCCCGACACTCATGGTTCAGTCCTGGTTCAGTAATGGTTTAGTTCCATTTTAGTCCAGTTTTAGTCCCGTTTTAGTCCTGTTTTAGTCCCGTTTTAGTCCCATTTTAGTCCCATTTTAGTCCCGGGTCAGTCCTGTTTTAGTTTTCAGTCATGTTTTAGTCCAGTTTTGGTCCAATTTTAGTCCTGTTTTAGTCCTGGTTCACTCCGGCATCTCGGTTTAAGTCACAGAAATTATCAGTTTTTTTTTCCATTATTCGTTTAAACACAAAATCAAAAACAGAAAAAAACTAATTTTGGTTTTGGAGACAAATGATGAAGAAAATCGTTTTTTTTTTTTTCATTTTCTTATTTTTGTTTTTATATTGAAAAACGAATGAACGAATGACACACGGATTATTCCCGGCCTACCTGCCCTGTCCCGGGGTCGTTTACAAAAGCTGGTACAGCAGAGAGTTGCATATTTTCACGAGTGTAAACACGGCATGTATGTGATGTTCTGATGGTTCTACGGTAACACGGCGAGGGTTTGGAGGTTTGGGGGTTTCGGGGGCGGCGGCTGTTCACTGGCCCTCCTCCTCGCGTAGGAACTGGAACACGGAGGAGAAGTCCTTGTTGGCGTAGCCTCGAGAGCACATGACCCTGAAGATCTGATGGGCCAGAGCGCCCAGAGGGATGGGCGAGCGCGTGCTGGTGGCCGTGCTTTGGGCGAAACCCAGGTCCTGCAATAAAAAAAAAAGTGTGTGTGTAAGAACGCGGTCACATGACTCACACAGACGAGCAGGTGACTCAGCCAGAAGTTACAGGTCAAGGGTCGCGTTTATGACACTTTACCTGGAATTGTTACTAAAGGTGTACGAAGGAAACGCACGAAACAGACTTCCACAAACTGACTCACCTCCCTCGTCTCTGAGAACACGCTTTGATCGATTAATTTTTATTTAGAGTTTGTTCCAAGAGAGAAACAATAATCATAAACATACATGTACATCGTAAACAACAGGAAAGAACATTTCTCGAAAAGAAGCAGGAGAAGAAAAGATTAATATGAACCACATCCTGTTCATGAAATTGTTCTAAAGATTAAAAAATTATGTGGTTTCTGTACATTGATGATGAAACTTTACAAATATTTACATATAGCAAAATAAATTACAGTATTTTTTGGACTGTAAGGCGCACTTAAAATCCTTTAATTTTCTGCCTGAGCCTGAGCTCCGGTGCATGATGGAGGAGCAGGACGACAGATGGAAGAACAACAAATGCTCCAGGAAGAAGCTCAAAAAGTCCTTGAACAAAAGCAACATAGAGCGTCTCGAATCCAAACAAGGAGATCACAGCAGGAGGGACATGAACCAACGCTACAAGAAGAAACTCGAGAAGAACAAGAGTCAGCCTCTGCCAACCCAAAGGTCTCAGAGAAGATGTTGAATAAACCAGTGTTTGTGTGGCACTCTACTGTCCGTGTGGTTAAGACCTGGAGCAGGTTAAAATCCCACTAAAGGCTGTTTTAGTGAATAATGTTGGAACTGAACCGACTGAAGACTGAACCACCACAAATGCACTGGAACTTATATATTCTCACTGTTCTCATGTGTTTGAAGAGTCACCAGGAGAAACCAACCAAAATAAGACGAGAACATTACACACAGAAGCAGGTTCTCCACTGTAATATTCAGGGCTTCAAATAACAACTATTATTGAGGTCATCGATAAACCTTGTACAGGATTCCCACTCTTTTTCACGGACAAAATTTCAAAACTTTTCCATGACTTTTTAATGTCCTAAAGTGAATTTTCCATGACTTTATGGCACCTACATGTGTAGATTCGATCATATTTTTACTTTTAGGGCAAAATCTGAAATGTGAAGTCTTTCCACTCGTCTTATGGTTTGGGATTATAGTTTTTAACATTCTAAATCCTGTATTTATTGTCGTCTCTTTTAAACAAAAAGACGCAGACGTTCACAAATAATCAGAACAGACTCATGAGAACTTAACAGAACACTGTAGATGTGTGAAAGAGATACTAAAATTCCGGGATTTCCATGACCGAAGGAACACTGCTAGTAGCGCTCTGGCATTTTTTGTTTTTTTTAAAGGAGCTCACTGTAGGAAAAAGGTTGGAGACTCCTGTTCTAGTCTCTGTAAGTCAGTCAGGCTGGTCGAGTAAACAATTTCCATTCATTTCGGAAAAATACCTCTCCCTTTTCTCAGTTAAAGCTGGTTAAATATGTACAACCTTTAATCTTTTAAATCAAATCAAATTTTATGTACAAAGTGCTTTTCATACAAAAATGCAACACAAATCTTTGTTTATAAATCTCATATTGAACCCGGAGAGTTCGGAAATAATCATAACAGCCTCATGAGAACTTAACAGAACCCTGGAGTTGCATGAAACAGACAATAAAATTTCATGACTTTTGCAAAACTTTCATTGAAATTACAGAATTCCATGACTTTTTCAGGCCTGGAAAATGACATTCTCAATTTCAGTGACTTTTCCAGGATTTCCTTGACTGTGGAAACCATGCTTGTAATTATTTTCTGCGAGTAACGGATCAGTCGCAGAGTCCTTGAGATCTTTAAAGACCCATGAATGAGATTTTGTACTAAATTAGACCAAAAAGAAGCTTAAGTGATGCTTGTTTGCAGACATCCTCATTAATACAGGTTGCATTTTCACATTTACTGTAATTTTAACGTCATAAAACCTCTGTTTCTCTTAGAGTTTGTATCCATGGGTTTCAACTTAACAGTACGTGGAGCATTTTGAGGAGTTTTTTCCATTCCTTTCTTCTACTTATTCAGCATTTTGAAACCCGTGGAAAGACCCGGTAACGATTCTTCAATGTCTAAATTAACCGATGTTTTTTTTGTTCAATAATTGATCGGTTGAGACTCGTTGATGAGGTCACCGAGCAGAAGAGGAACAGTGACGTACGCAGTGTATTAACAGCCACTTAAGCGTCGTCTCCCGGAGGCTGATGGGAGTGTGGAGCTCCGGTAACGCAGGGGCTGTAAAGTGAACGCAGCGAGCCACAGATGGAGCAGTCAGAAGGGGGAAGAGCGCCACAAAAGAGCCATCAGCAGAGCACAAAGACAATCACGCACAGACAAAGCAGTGCCCCAGGAGAGAACAGGAGGAAATCAGTAACTAAACACTGTCACACTCCGGTTTACAGCCCTCATCATGAGCCCACAGAGCCCAGACCCACTGTCGGCACATGAGGCTTTCTCTACGGGACGCACTGGTGCAGCAGGACTGGTTTACTGCAGGGATACAAGACACGTTTGTAGAATAAACTGAAGTAGTCTGAACGTTGAAAAGACCAGACGCGAAATCTAAGCTGTTGTCCCAAACCCCAAATCCAGCCCTAAATGTCCCAAAAATGACTAAATGACTAAATCCTGAGTAGTTATTTCCGATAAACATTAAAAATTGTTTGTACAGAGCCTCTGACGGCTTCTAGACGCTCTGTTTGTGAGGTGTACATTCACTTTGGACGCCTCCTACGTTATAACAGGGAAGAGCGTCTTACTGAAGGCGCGGGCACAGTAAACTAGGGACGGGCATGAAATTTTCTTAATCGATTTTTAAAATTAAAATGATCATCATTATTATTACTATCTGCATAAATAAATTCAACTTTACGACATATAAACCGTAACGACTCTAGAGCCACTTCAGCCCGTTTGACATTATAATGTGTTTAATTCAGTTTTGTTCAACTCTCACAGAAACAAAACTTAAAACCGCATCGCTAATTTGCATAAACTAAGCGAAGATAAAACTCCAGCTCTTGTGTCGCTGATGTGGTTCGTTTCTGTTGGATTAAAAGACATGACTCAGGTGAATACAGGTTAGTGTGACCAGATTTGTGTTTGTTAAAACCAGGACAGCGTACGGGGGGAGGGGGGCGGGGACTCGTCATCGACATTGAGCGACTCTCACCTGGTAAAACTTTTTCCCACTGGACACAGAAACATATGTGCTGCTTTATACACTGTGCGCATGGACTCACACTTGTCCCAACAGAAAGAGTGGAATTTCTTGTACAAATCATCGTTAAATACACATTTGTGCTTCGGTTCGTTACAGACTGACCCACTGTTTGTGTCTCGCTCCTTCTGATGCAGAGACACATGTACACACCTGTTTGGTCACGATACACACAGCAACCTACATTCGATTTGTCGATTAAAATGAACGTAATCGATGAAATTCTTAATTCTTAATCGATTAATCATGCCCATCCCTAGCAGCAACCGCCGAGTTTGTAGCCGGAGGGGAGACGGCGAGGTGAAGTAAGAGCGACGTGCGGTCAGGTGAGGCAGGTGAGGCACTGCCACAACCAAGCTTCTCCCTACATCGTGTAATTTAGCTCACTACGTTAAGTCGCTTGTCTTTAGTGAAGACGCTCCGGGTTATTTTGACCTTTCTTCCGTTTGTGTGCAAACAAAATAATTTATTGAAACTCAATGTTTTTATTAGTTAATTTGTTAAAAAAAAGCAACTTAGAAAGCATCAACATTTCTGAGCCTCCCCCATCCCCACTCCCGTCCCGAATTTCAGCCAGTCTCATCTGGTCAGCCTAGTCTAGGAGGAAAACTTTATTTACCATCATTCCAGACATGAACCCTTAACACACTGTAACACTGTCGTTCATTCTAGTCTAGTCCAGTTTATTCCGGCTATGCTTCTGTAGTAGGGAGTATTAAACTGATGACATAGGCCAATTTCTCTATCACACTGCTCTTCAATCAAAAGATAAACATTTTTTTCATAAAGACTGAGACCAGTTGAGACTAAACTTACACAGATCTTCACCAGAAATTGGCCCAGAGGCATCATTTGCTCATCTTCAGAAGATGGAAACATTTAAAGCCTTATGGTGGGACTTTCCAGGTAAAGCGAGACCATCTCCATGACGACAAGCCACATGGTGCAAACTTCACCAATAAATAATGCATGTGTAATTCAATATCTATTAATTTATATAATGTTTTTAAGAGTATGGATGTGAGAATGTGTCTATATTTATTCATTTTACTGCTGTAGATTTGCGCTGTTGAAGTTTCGTTGTGTTTTATACAAAGACAATAAATCTAAATCTAAAAGTGAATATGGGTGTATTCCTGAATCTTCTTAAATGTGTATTATTGTATTATGAAAATGTTTATTTATTCTTTGACTTTCTGTACATTTACAATAAAAAAATCAAGTTATTCTTCATAATGACTGATATATTTTACAGTAATCCTAAAAATGAAGCCTGTTCAAAGACGGTAAGAGAGCGAGAAAGTACCTTGGCCATGAGCGTGGTGCCGAAGCCTCCCTGGTAGTTGTTGGCAGACGGGACTCCCTCCATGACCCCAGGCACCGGGTTATAAGTGTCACTGGACCAGCACCGACCCGAGGACATGTTCAGAACCTGGGCCAGGAGCTTCGGGTCGAGGCCCAGTCTGAAAGAGAGACACACAAGAAAAAAAACAAGACATACATATGAAGAGTTTATTTGCAAAAACAGAAATGGTAAACAATATGTATTTTACAGCAATAATGAAACCTCTAGACATTATTTTCATTTGAAGATGGCAACAAAAAAAAATTTCAAAACTGAGATATCTGTATAGAAATTTAACCCTAATCCTGTGTAGATTTGTAGAAAACAGCTTAGTGTCTTTTTTATCTTTCACAACCTGATATTTTACAGCGATTTGAAGCAGCTCTTCGTTTGGTTTTAGGGCAGATACTCATTGACTACTCACACTTTCTGTCACTAATAATAAGAAAATATATTCTTTTTCTGAATTTTTGGGGTAAATATACTGATTACGTTTGCGTTTTGATCATAATATTGGGTTTAAAGTTCATGTTTTAAACGCTTCCAGAAGAACTGACCAAAAGACTGAAGCATGAACTGACAAACGAACACAAGAATCACATTTCAGAACATGTTTGTACAGATTTAAAGCAGTTTTTACGCAGAATAAGACCGGAGATTTTGCCTGCGGAGGAGAGGAAACGACGGTGCTTCAAAAACCGCAGCCTTTGATTTGCCAATTCAAGCTGCAATTTCGCCTCAATTACGATTAATCTCGCATCACCGCAGATAAATAAAAAGGTGCGCGTGGTGATGGAGGACGTTTTCGTGGCCGGTCTGGAGCAGCAGGAGGAGGAGGAGGAGGAGGAGAAATATGAGCGAGGGGTCCAGAGACGGAGCTGACCCCCGGTGCACCTCGCCCGGCCCGGCCCATCCCTCACACACACCGCCTCAGAGCTGCGTAATGTGCTCTAATGCACTATTGATGTTTAGCACCGAGCATCGCTCATCAGGCCAAAGGAGGAGAGAGCGAGAGGGCAGGAGAGAGGAGAGTGGTTAAGCAGTCAACAGCAGCCATAAAACTCACAGCACACAGCGGAGATACAATGGACCGCACTCGAGCTTCTGTCACTACTGTGGATCAGCGTGACAAGGCCTATTATCCTGCAATACTTTCAATCCAAGAACTCTGCAAAACCAGCACCTGTGTGTAACAGTTTAGTGTTACATTACGCATAAGGGCTGAGTATCATTAAGAAGTTGCAGATGTGATACATGCCTCGATACATAGGCCACGATACGATATATATCTCAATACAGTGATCCTACAATTTGATACGATTCAATACGATATATTTCAAATTGATTTGATATGGTTCAGTAAAAAATAAAGGCAAAATCATGGCTGTGATACTAAGGCTACGTTCAGACTGCAGCCTGAAGTGACCCAAATCCGATTTTTTGGCCTGTACGTGACCTGTATCCGATCTTTTAATAATGAAAGTCTGAACGACCCAGGACACTTGGATATGTGCTCCTGAAACTGATACATATCTGATCTTTTGACATGTGACTTCAGTCTGAACGGCAAAAGTGCATTCATCCACCTACACGTTATCAACAAGACACAAACGTCACTATTCTGCACTGAAGTAGGTGAAAATTGTTAATGAACTCCGTGTCACTGAAGTGAAGCACATCACCACTCACCACTCTTGGCTCCGTCTCCACATCCACACGTTCCTTTCAACGTTCTGTCCCACAAAACACCACGACCAAAAACCTCGTCCTTCTCCTTCTCAATCTCCTCCTTAAAACAAGTAAGTTGTTCATGTTCTGGCTCCGGTACGAGAGGAACTTTAAAATCTCCAGGTGCTCGATGCTGCGTCCATGTTTGGACAACTTCCGTAAACACAGAGACGCTCGCTGCGGTTGACGTCGTCGTGTCTCCAGTGTCACATGTGGGACACTTTCCGTTTAATGTTCACACTAGAGACACACATACAAGTCACATTTAATTGGAAATGTGAACGACCTCGCAAAAACGCATCGTATTTCACAAAAAAATCGGAATTGAGCATTAAGCCCTGCAGTCTGAAGCCTTAGAAAACTGTGGTGTCCACTGGGAGCTGATGTCGCCATAAACATCAACATGACAAAGAGTCGGACAATGGGATAGTTCACGTCATGTTAGTACGCAATGGACTTTGTCATTTATACCAAAATTTGAGCATAAACAAATGGCTGGACTCTTTGTGAAGCTGAGACTCTCTAGTTTTGTTCTCTGTCTGATCTATTCTCATTATAAGTGGGAACCAGATCTGCACAAAGGAACAGCAAATGTAAATTCCCACCTACATTTTTTTTGGTAAATATAAAAATAGTGTCTGGAGGGATCAACCACACAGACTGAACATTTGTTTGGTTTTGATAATTCCCATTTGAAACCTGACACACACCTCAATAAAAAGGAAATTTACGGACTTCAGGTTTAAAAAAAAAAAAAAAAAGACAAAGTGGAATTCCTGATACATTTTGGTGAAATTTTAGGTTTTAGTTTTTTTTTTTTTTTTCATTTTTGTCATGTTATTTTGTGGGTGTGGAGTACAGACGGGTCCTGACTCTTCCCTGAAAGGCTGATTTGACTCAAAGTGGGTTACAGCTTCACAGTTTTCTTTAGTCAGTTGATGGATAAAAAGAAAAACATTTAAAGAAAAGAATAAAGAGAAAAACAACAAAAATTCTGAGTCTGAGGGCCCACAAAGGCTCTTCTGAGACTAAAGTTGTTGAAAAATGTTTATGGGACAATGGGCAATAGTGACGCTTAAGAGTGAAATTACTAAACGTGAACAGCGTGATTCCAAATCCTGCAGTACCAGACAAGTCCAAAGTCTAAAGTGTGGTGTAATACTGTAATAAAACGTGCACCTGCCTTTGCATGTCTCGCTGTCACATTTCAGTAAGCAGAGATAAAGGGCTTTTGTGCATCAAATTGCAGCGATGGAAATTTGTGCAGATTTTAATATGAATGTTCTATTCACACACATGAACTTTAATAGTGTTTATTAGACTGAGACAGAAGTGTTTTAAACGGCCACATCCTTTAATGTCTTCATTGTCTCCACTGTTCCTTTATCCAGAGAGAAAAGAGACTCTGAGTCGACGGTTCAAACCTGAATACTGCGGTTGTGTCCGTAGTTAAAACACTTCATGCACTGTGAAGCGGTGGTGTAATGAAGATCGTTTTTCTGTGCTGCGTCATCCCCACACTGCCAGATCAGCCCTTGTCATCTTTGCCCACATCATCCGAGGTATAATACTCCCTACAACAAAAACATAGACTGGACTAGACTGGAATGGACAACACTATCACAGTGTCCTGAGGGTTCAAGTCTCAGTGTCCTGTACTGAAGTAAATGAACGTCTGTGTTACTCCAGCCTCACGTCTCTTCTTGCTGCTCTTGGCTACTTGAAATTATTCTATAACACCAACATCTGATATTTGTCTTGCTGTTCTTCTACCACAAAAGAAATAACAATAAGAAAGGTGTAGTAAGTCTACAACTTATCTCTTTTGTAAAATATATTAAAATGTATTTTCTGTGATACAATCAGTTACGCGTGTGTATTGTATCTAGTATATTCCCAACCCAAAACATGCTACAGGTCTCCAGGAAGAACAGTTGATAGTTAAGGTCAGTTAAATACAATCAATCAATGAATTTGCCCAGAAACAACAGGTGGAAATTAGCTCTGGTGCTACAACCTGGTACAAACATCTTTCCTGTTAAGGTTAATGTAAAAATGATGCGCTGTCCCTGTCTCATTAAAATAAATAAATAAATAAATAATAAATTCCATCCATTCACTGACCAATATATGAAAACATCCCATAATATGACCAAACCTCATTAAAGATGATGATCTGTTCTCGTCAGATCTCAGAGGTTCAGCAGGGCTGGGCCTGGTCAGTACGTGGATGGGAGACACTGAGAACAGTGTCACACCTGTTCTTGTGTTCCTGGGCAAGACACTTCACCCACACAGTATAAATGTGGTGTGTGTAAGTGTTGGTCTAAAGCCTCACTTCAGTCAGTCTGCCCCAGGGCAGCTGTGGTCACAATAGCAGTTTACTCCCTCAGAGTACAGACGGGTTATTTGTTTGGCAAAACAGTGGGTGCGGATGCAGCCTGAGAGCAGAAAGCACCGCTGTCTGTGCAGATCACATGAAGCTGCAGCTCTGTCTCTCGCTGTTGTCAACACTAAAACTGTTCATCTCCGTGTGATAAAATAAGTTATGATGCTAAATGAACATTAGTGAGTGGAATACGTATTTGTTAAACACAGGTGAGTGTGTAAATGATGAGAAGAAGCGTCTCAAACTTCAGTACACACATCCACTCATACCTGATCCACACACCTGTCCCCGCCCCCCGGAGAGTCTGAAATCTACTGAAAACCTCCAAGACACTGACATGATACAGACAGAACAGAGGCTCTTTCTGCAGGAGACATGTGCAGTAGAGCCAAGTGATGAAGTCTGATAATTCCTCTACTGAGTGAATGAATAACGCACTGAATGAATGTTTAGAAAAGACTAACGAATTAATATCATAATTAAAATCACTGTCACTGATAACAGTATTAACATGAGTATATCGTCCACCTCCTCGTACAAATGTCAGATTAATACAAAAGTACAAGTCCTGACTCATTAACATGTTCACTGTGGCGACCGCCCATAAAATAAAACAGAAGTTGTTGTGATGATTATAGTTTTCTAGTTCGTACACAAACAGCGTCTGGACAAAAATGACCAAAGCAGAACAATGCCCATAAACAAAGTGGGTTCTTCCAGAGTTAATAGGCCGAGCGCAGACAGCCTCAGAGTGGGCTGCTGTTAAAGGGGTGCCACTTCAGCCACTACACTGTCTGTGGCTTTGCTTGTCACTGCACATTTTGGGACATTACAGTTGGAGCGCGCCACAACAAGGCCGCGCACCCGCCCTCGCCGCGCCCGCTCCGCATACACCGTAACGCAGAGCCAACGACGCCCCGCCCTCCTCCGCCGCCGCCACACATCACCGCACGTTTAAGAGCTGTCTCGCGACTAATTAAGAATTCTCCGGGCCTTTCTTT